CCAGCAACTCCGCATTCTCCCCTTGCCTTGGCCCCTGGTGACCACCGCCTGCTTTCTGGAGCCCTGAATTTGACTGCTCTAGGTACCTCGCATAAGTGGGACCTTATCTGTCGTTTTGTGACTGGCTTATTTCAGTTAGCACAGTCTCCTCAAGGTTCATCCGTGTCGTAGCACGTGCTAGAATTTCCTTCCTTCTTAACACCAAGTGATATTGCACTGTGTTTATAGCCACACGTTGTTTAGCCATTCCCTCCCTGGGAGACACCCGAGTTGTTCCTGCCTTCCGGCTACTGTGAATAATGTTGCGTGTGCACACTGTGCACGTCTCTGAGTCCTTGCTTTCTTTTCTGCATAGACCTAGAAGCGGAGTTGCTGTCTCACGTGGGAATCCTAGGTGTAATTTTGTTGAGGAACTGCCATACAGTTTTCCATAGTGACTATGCCATTTTACATTTCCACCAGCAGTGTGCGAGGCTTCCCACCTCTCCACGTCCACACTAGCACTTCTTGCTCTCTGGGGTGTTTTTAGGTGGTGGTGTATTGGTAATAGCCACCCAATGTGAGGCACTATCTCATTGTGGTTTTGCTTTCTTTCCACTTTCTCATAATTAGTGATGTTGAGCATTTTCTCATGTGCTTGTTGGCCACTTGTATTTCTTTGGAGAAATGCCTATCCAAATCTTTTGCCCATTGTAAAAATTGGGTTCTTTGGGTTTTTGTGTTCTTGAGCTATGGAAGTTCTTTCATAGTCTTGGATTTGAATCCCTAAAAACTGCTTTTAATTTTTTAAAATGTATTTATTTATTTGAAAGGCAGAGTGATATATATAAATACAGAGAGACCTTCTATCCGCTGGTTCGCTTACCAAATGGCTGCACCAGCCTGGACTGGGCCAGGAACCAGGAACTGCATCCAGGTTTCCCATATAGGTGGCAGTGGCCCAAGCACTCAAGCCATCTGCTGCTGCCTTCCCAGGTGCGTTAGAGCAGGGAACTGGATCAGAAGCTGAGCAGCTGGGACTCAAATCCATTCTCAGATGAGATGCTGGCATGGCAAGTGGCCGCTTACCCTGCTACACAAAGCAAAGCTCATGATTCTGAACTCTACTGGTACACTGTCTGGGGTCAGTGCTGCTCTCACCAGCACTGCCCACCCGCACCTCAAATGCCAGTCAATGACTGTCTCAAACCTGTTCTCCAACCAGAGCAGAAAATAGATAGAACTGACTACAAGATGTCTGTATGCCTGACTGTGAAGCAGCACCCTCTTCTACCCAGTTCCCAGGGAATTAAGCTTCTATCCCCAACACCCAGGAGAGCTGGTTTCCTGGTGGAGTCTGGGCTGGGAGTCCCAGGTAGGGAAGGCAGGTCCAGCAGTGACCCCCCTACTGCCCCCAGAGCTCAGCTTGTGCCCACCCCAGGCCCAGCTGGGACACACCCTCGTTTACCTCATCTCAGAAAAGCAATTTAGGGGCCAGCGCTGTGGCGCAGTGAGTTAAGGCCCCGGCCTGCACTGCCAGCATGCCATGCGGTCACCAGTTCAAGTCCTGGCTGCTCCTCTTCCGATCCAGCTCTCTGCTATGGCCTGGGAAAGCAGTGGAAGATGGCCCAAGTCCTTGGGCCCCTGCACCCACACGGAAGACCCGGAAGAAGCTCCTGGCTCCTGGCTCCTGGCTTCAGATCAGCTCAGCTCTGGCTGTTGAGGTCATTTGCGGAGTGAGCCAGCCCATGGAAGAACTCTCTCTCTGGACCTACCTCTCTCTCTAACTCTGTCTTTCAAATAAATAATTATTTAAAAAAATTTATTTTCAACAAAATATTTCTCCCATTCTCTATTTTAGATTACTTGGGATAATAACTAACATGTATAAAGTTGTCACATGCCAGACATGTTTTTAAGATTTTTAAATTTATTTTAATTTGTATTTGAATGAGACAGATGAGATCGTCTGTCCACCGATTCACCCCCCAATGCCTGCACAGCCAGACTGCAGCCGGGAGCCTGGAACTTTACCTGGGTCTCCCATGCAGCTGGCAGTTCCCAAATACTTGAACCACCTCCTGCAGCCTCCCAGGGTGCAAAATAGCAGGAAGCAGAGCTGAGACCCGAACCCAAGTGGGATGTGGGTGTTCCGAGCAGCACCCTAAACTACTTTTTCACCAAATGCCCACCCCTTGCCAGACACATTTATATGGGTTAATAGTTTATATTTACACACTTTGGGGCCATGTGCTGCACTTACCCCCAGTTTCTAGATGAGGAAATCAAAGCACACAATTACTTCGATCCTCATCTGGGCCCAGATGAATTTGAGCTTAGCAGTCTGCCCCCAGAGACTGGACTCAGCCTGGTGCTGTGGAGCGTGGCTCCTTCCGCTCTCCCCAGGGCAGTGAATTCCCGACAAATGCATTGCTTGGGGCTGGCAGTTCTAAGTTGTAGTTCAAAAGGCTTTGATCCCTATCTCTTTTAAAAAAAATTACTTATTTGAAAGAACCCTAGAGAGATCATCCACCCTCTAGATCCCTCTCCAGATGGCCGCAATGGTCAGGCTTGAGCCAAGCCAAAACCAGCAGCTGGGAGCTTTATCTGGGTCTTCCACATAGGTTTCAGGGACCCAAACACTTGGGCCATCGTCCGCTGCTTTGCCAAGCCACTAACAGGGAGCTGCATCAGAAGTGGAGCAGCTATAGGATGCTAGCATTGCAGGCAGTGGCTTAACCCACCGTGCTACAACCTCGGCTCCCATTGAAGGATTTTGAGTCAAGGAACAGCTTTCCCTGAGTTTCCCTTTTTGAAGACACCTCCTGGCTGCTCTGCAAAGAGTCAAAGCGTGGAGACCAGGTAAGGACAGCCTAGTGCATGATGACAGCTTGAACTGGGCTGGTGGCTGGAGATACAGGTGGAGAGGATTTGAAAGCTGTTTGCAAGTCGATGGGGGTGGTGCACCTGGAGCTGAGAGAGGCAAGCACTGAGAGGTAGGGAAGGCTGGGGACAGAGGGAAGCAGTGGCCACTCACATCACTGGGCACACGCAGGAGGGAGGACGGAGGCCAGAGTCCTCGGGAAGAAGGAGAGAGCTCTTCTCTGCCGTGCCAGAACCAGACCAGTGCACGGTAACTGGAGAAAGGCGTCAGACTCCGAGGTTTGTCTTGCACATGGTGGAGGCTTTTAAGTGGGGCGATACTGGAGCATAGTGTTACTGACAATGACCCAGCAGAGAGAGAAAGTGACGGTTTTAGGAAAAAAACGAAGGCTGCACTCTGGAGAGGGTGCCAGGCTCCCCCCGTGGCTAAGCAGAAACTGGTAGTCCGTAAGATGCTCCTTGTTGCACAAGGGAGAGATGGAAAATGCAGATTAGATGTGGGTGGATCTGAGGTAGCCAGGGTGGAAAGATCAGGGCAGTTCTGTCTGAATAGTTCTAGTTTGTTCTGTTCTGTATTAGATGAGAAACGTGAAGGCTCAGAGATCCGTTAACTTGCCTGAGGTCATGTGCACTGGAAGGGGCTGAGCTGGATCTTCTGATTCCAGGCCTTTCCTCACCTGGGTCACCTTCTCTGCTGTTCCTTCCCCTCCGCAGTGTGGTGCCCGTGAATAATAATCTGTGCAACCCGAGTGCGATGAACCTCTCCGCTGTGGGCTTCACTGTTTGCACTTGTTGGTGCTGCCACAGACGGCAGTGAACGCCACAGGCCCTGAAATGTTCTTTCTCTGTTTCCATCCATAACCCCAGCTGCTGTTTCCTTTCACGGCACCATAATCTGAAGAGAAACCTGCTATGCTCTCCGCAGTTGCTGGGGCAGAGCAGGTGGATGGAGGGTGGAAGGTTCTAGCGGCATCTTCGCCGGTGAGGGCTGTGTCAGGCCCAGGGTCTCCCTCCCATTCACCAGCCTCGGGAGCCCTATTCATTTATCCTGGGAAGTGGCTGCAGGAGTGCAATGTGGCTGAAGTGTGGCTGGGGAGGTTTCCTAAGGTTCCCAGCACTGGAACAATTCTTTCATTTTTTTTTCTTAATTATTTGAGAGGCAGAGAGAGCTCCTATCTACTGGTGCATCACAGGCACCGCCTTGGGATGGAAAGATTGGCCATGGCTTCCGTAGACTATGACTTGGCATTCCCCCTGGGGAGTTCCCCATGAGCTGGATCCTGCCCTGGCTGTGGCTTCCCCTGTCTGCTCTTCTCCGTGGCCAGCTTCCTGCCCCCACTTTTCTGTTGTCCTAGGATGAGCTTTGCAGATCCCCTCCTCCCAGGGCACTCTCATGACCTGGGCAGCACTGTGTTGACCTGGCAGCACTCTGTGTGACTTGGGCAGCACTGTGTGTGACATGGGCAGCACTGTGTCTGACCTGGGAAGCACTCTTTGTGACCTGGGTACCACTGTGTGTGCCCTGGGCAGCACTGTGTGACCTTGCAGTGGAGGGAAATGCTGGTTCATGGGAGGCTTCCCACAGGTTGTGAGTGCTGGCTGAGTTTTGCAGGCTACCTAGACATGACCCAGAAAAGGAAAGGAAGTGCTGTGTTTAACTTCTGAGAGGTAGAAATGAGCCTCATGCGTTTAGGGAACGGGATAAGCAAAGCGCAGAGCTTTCAGTGAGACAGGAGCTCCAAGGAGAGACAGGAAGTCAGTCATGGAGAGCCTATGTCTCCCGTAATTAAGTCTCTGGCCTACACCTTAGGCCACAGCCATTCCCTTCCATTAAATGCCGATGCTGTTTTTAACACAGCCATGCATAAGGGAGCCTAAGGCAGCTGACTTTCCTCTCACCTGTATTAGCTGGACACTGTTGTCTGCTCTAGAGTTGTTTCAAAATAATAAAGTGCAGGGACACAGTTTGTGTGCCTGAGTCTGGTGTTTCGATGGGTGCTGACTAGCAAACTGGGGCACAGATACAGGGACACGGCTCTCAGCTAGAGCTGGCTGCGTTTTTAGGAAAAAAGTATAAAGTCCAATGCCTAGGTACAGAGATAGTACAATAGCAAGAGAGAGAAGTTCAACACAGCGTGTTACAGTATCTAGTAACTCTTTATTTCCACCCAAGACTGTCTGTCCCGCTGGGACTCACTGCCACCCGTGTCTGATGCTGCGCCTGCCTTTCCCCTCGGAGACGGAGGCGTGGACCACGTTCTGCTTACGTCACCAAAGTCTTCCTCGCTACCCGCCAAGCGCCGTGCCTCTGACTCTATCAGACCTTATCAATGTTTCAGGACTGGAAAACCGCGATATTTGCATCTGCAAAACAATGCATGACTTTAGGACTGTAACAGGCTTTAAAGCAGAACATACATGCTCTTTCTGCTTCTCCCAATGTTTTTCTGATTAAGATTTTATAATTTTACTCCCATTCATGTTTTCACAGAAACCTGCACTCTGTGCCTGAGTGTCTCTCTTTTAGAATTTACTTATTTTTAAAATGTTTATTTATTTATTTGAAAGGCAGAGTTGGGGGGGGAGAAAGAGAGAGAGACAGACATAGAGAGAGAGAGAGAGAGACCTTCCATCTGTGGGTTTACTCCCCAGATGGCTGCAATGGGCAGAGCTGGGCTGTCCTGAAGCCAAGAATCAGGAGCTTTTTCTGGGTCTCCCATGAGGGTGCAGGGGCCCAAGCACTTGGTCTGTCTTCAGGCTCATTAGCAGGGAATTGGATTGGAAGTAGAACAGCTGGGACTTGAACCAGAATCCATATAGGATGCCGGGGCTGCAGACGGCAAATTTACCTGCTACACCACAGTGCTGGCCTCCGTGATTCCATTTTCTTTACTGATTAAAAATAACTTGAGGGGGTAAGCATCTGGTGTGGTGGTTAAGAAGCCACTTAGGATACCCTGAACCCACATCTGGGTGTTGGGATTCACATTGTAGCTCTGCTCCTGATTCTAGCTTCCTGGAATGCGCAGCTTGGGAGGCAGCAGGTAATGGCTCAAGTGACCGTGTCCCAGAACCCACATGGGAGATTTGGATGGAGTTCTGAGCTCCTGAGCCTGGGCCTGCCCTGGCTATTGCAGATACTTGGAGAGTGATCCACCCAAGCTTAACTCCACCAGGCACAGACTTTTGGGGAACCCCCGTGTCCCCATGCACTCACACAGTCCTAGCGGAGAAGCAGGTAAATAGTTCCAGGCGTGCAGGTGCGTGCTGCGGGGACACATGATGGCACATGAGCATGCGGGGCTGCGTCCCAAGGGCTGGGAACAGAACCCACACAGCCCAAGGTTAGAGGCAGCCCCAGGTGTCTGAGGGGTGGGGCAGCCTGCCCACAGGCCAGGGGGTCCAGGGAGCAGTCTGCAGAGGCAGCTTTAGGTCAGTTCCAGAGGCACATTTTATGTCAGCTCACAGAGTGCACACACAACAGCTAACTTACATTACCCAGAATGCTCTCAATCAGCCAGTGTAAGGAACAGTAAGACAACAGAGAGAATGAGAACAAAAGAAAGACAACTTAATTACTTGTGGGCTGCAAAAGATCCAGACACTGAGGATCTCATGGGATCTGAGGGTGCCATGGTCAACCTGCATTAGAACTGGGGTCCAGATCTCCAGGACAGGACCAGCCCCATTCATTCATTCCTTCTCTCTCTCTGCCCGCCCCCAGCCCCTTCTCTCACATCTCTGTCCCTTGGACTCCAACTCAGACACAGGCTCCCTTCCCAGGAGAGAGGGCTCCCACCATCCTGGCATTCACAGCCCCCACTGGAAGCCCTCCGGATGGAGAACTCTTCCTGGTACCTCTGTCTCCGGCCCGGCAGAGCCCTGGCATGGACGCTACCTGCATTATGAGCTCATCCAGCTCAGGCACTGTGACCAGGGGTGGCCACCCAGGGGGCTGTGCCTGTGTCCCCTGCCCTTCCTGGCCACGGGTGAGGGTGATGTTTTGGGTCTCGTTGCCCCACTAAAGAGGCATTGTGTAGACACTTTCTCTGTTGATGAGTAACCTGGCTGTCACTGGTTCTGCATGTCCACCCCATTAGCACATGGTCCCCAGCAGCCTTTAGCTGAGTACAAGGGCTCTCATCAGCTTGATAAAACACATCAACACACGTGCAGATTATTTATCACCACACCCAGTGAACCAAGTTTGACAAAAGTCTGTGACACCTCTCTGAGGACAAGCAAAACTCCTTTACTTCACTGATATCAGATTTGGAGGGAGAAAGAAAGCTTGGTTCTGGGGACTGGTGTATGGCACAGCGGGCTAAGACACTGCTTATGATGCCAGCATCCCATACTTGAAGTGCCTGTTCAAGCCCTGGCTCCAAGCCAGCTCCCTACTAACACACCTGAGAAACCAGCGGCATATGATCCAAGTACCTGGGCACCTGCAACCCCTGTGGTAGACCTGGGTGGAGTTCTAGGCTTTTTAAAAAGGTTTATTTTTTGATTATTTTATTTTATTTTTTGACAGGCAGAGTGGACAGTGAGAGAGACAGAGAGAAAGGTCTTCCTTTGCCATTGGTTCACCCTCCAATGGCCGCCGTGGCCGGCGTGCTGCGGCTGGCACCCTGCGTTGATCAGATGGCAGGAGCTAGGTACTTATCCTGGTCTCCCAGGGTGCAGGGCCCAAGGATTTGGGCCATCCTCCACTGCACTCCCTGGCCACAGCAGAGAGCTGGCCTGGAAGTGGGGCAACTGGGACAGAATCCGGCGCCCCTACCGGGACTAGAACCTGGTGTGCCAGCGCCGAAGGCAGAGGATTAGCCTAGTGAGCCGCGGCGCTGGCAAAAAAGATTTATTTTTTTGAAAGGTAGAGTTACAGAGAGAGAGGGAGGAATACAGACAGACAAACAGACAAGACATGCACACACACACACAGACACACAGAGTAGAAGGGGAGAGGGAGAGAGAGAGAGAGACAGAGATACAAAGAGAGAGGTCTTACATCTGCTGGTTCACTTCTCAAATAGCCACAATGGCAAGGGAAGTGCCAGGTGGAAGCAGGAACCAGGAGCTTTCTGGGTCTACACTGTGGGAGAAGCAGCCTAAGCATCTGGGTCATCTTTCGCAGCTTTCCCAGGCACATTAGCAGGGAGCTGGATTGGAAGTGGAGCAGCCGAGACTCAAGCCAGCAGCCATATGGGATGCCAGTACTGCACCGCTGGCTGAACCCATTACACCACAGTGCTAGCCCCGTAGGCTCCTGGCTTTAAACTGACCCTCCCTAGCTGTTGCGGCCATGTACGAAGTGAACCAGAGGATGGAAGATCAATCCCTCTCTGTCCACGGATCTCTCAAATAAATAAATCTTAGAAGAAACTGTTATGCCCAGATCGCTGAATCCCCAAAAATCACCAGAGACTTGATCTCACCGAAATGCAAAAGCAAGGTTTACTCTGGAAGTATAAGCTGCGGCAGGGACCTCATCTAACCAACCGACGCAGTGGAGGTCAGAGGAAGGCCCTGAGCTTTGTTCGGGAGCGTTTTTAAAGGACAAAGCTGCAGTGTTACATCAGCAAGGGTTTGGGGTACAGGGCTACAGTAGATTGAACGGTGCCATTCCTGGTAGCTCTTGGTTGGACGAGTCTGATCCTGATTGGCTCAGGCCCAGGGCATTTCCTTATTTGGTTTTGGTAACTGTTGAATGTTTGCATTTACGGGAACTTGGGCCTGCTCCAGAAAATGGAGGCTACTTTTTAAAATGGAGGCGCCTTGGCTCTTCAGAATTTAGGCGCCAGTGCTGTGGCATAGCAGGTAAAGCTGCCACCTGTGACACTGGCAACCCATATCAGGAGGCTGGTTTGAGTCCCGGCTGCTCTGATTCTGATCCAGCTCCCCGCTAATGTGCCTGGGAAGGCAGAGGAAGATGGCCAACTACTTGGGGCATTGCCAACTGAGGGGAGACCTGGATGGAGTTTGGGTGCCTGTCTTCAGACTGGCCTAGTCTAAGCCATGGTAGCCATTTGTGGGGGGGGGGGGGCAGGGCAGGTGAACCAGTGAATGAAAGTTCTCTCTCTCCCCCTCTTTCCTCTCTCTCTCTGTCTCCACCCGTGTGTGTTTATTGTCTCCCTGTATCTGTAACTCCACCTTTCAAATAAATAGTTTTAAAAATAAAAACAGTCTAATAAGACATTTTCTTAGCAGTTTCCTTTGGGATTTACACTGAATTGAATTCTTGGGGCAGTGCCCACAGAGATTCCGCCTCCTCATTTTAGTCCAGCGTGGACAAGATAGGACTTTCCGCAGCATGTTCAGGCTACTGCTGAGCAGAGCTGGGGGACACAGAGTCCTCAGGGCCATCACTTACCTTGGGGGAGATGAATTTTCTAAAACCACATGGGTCTGCAAGGCTCCCACCAGCACTGGGGAGGAGTGATGAGAAGGAGAGCTGTGGTGTGTCTCTCGTCCTTGCCGACGCTGTTTTGCAGTCCGGATGGGAACTCTGTTTTTCCTCGAACTGGGTTACTTGAAGGGACTTGGAAAACCTCATGGAAAATGGAAATAAAGGATGAGCTTATTTGTTGCAGTTTTTGAAATTCACGCATAGGAGAGGGGATACAAAACATTCACGGGCAAAGTATGTTAAGGACAAACTATGCACAGGTTTTCAAAAGTTTTTGCACCTAAATAAATTTTGAATTCTATATCTGGTGATGTTTTGGTAGTATCCTGAGTTTCATCTTTATTTGATCTGCCTTCAAAAACTCCAACCTTATTACAAAGATGAGTTTTTACCTGTGCTTAATGGAAAACAGTCCCCAACGTCTTCATAATTTAATTTTTTTGACTTTTGTAGCAAAACTGTAGTGAGAATTCCTGGGGTGCTGGTTCTTTCCTCTCAGCCCTGAGGAGGTGACCAGCACTGCAGGAAATCATGGAGAAATCGCATTGTGCAGTGTCCCTGGACATCCTGGAGGAGGGGGTCATCTCCCCAGGGAGGGGTTCCTCTCCCAAGAGGGTGTGGGCAGTCGGTGCAGAGGGACCATCATGTGTTCCTGGGGCCCATGGCTGTGCTGGGCCCTGGGGGCTCCTCAAGAACTGCAGGAGACACAGATCCACTTGCTATGTGGGGGCAAGGGTTACCGGGCTCACTTCCTACCTGAGATGAGTGTGGGGAGCAACTCGGACTAGACTAAGTTACTGGAATTAAGACTTATTCTATGCATCTGCTCTCCCACAATATGGCGCTGGGAGAGAAGAAAACAGCTTCTACACAGCTGCCTCCAGTTCAGCCAATAAACTGTAGGACTTGCTCCTGATTGGAGGAGAGCAGCGTACTCGGCGTGTGGGTAGCAGAGTTGGGATTGGTGGAAGAGGACTATAAAGGAGGAGAGAGACGGCATGCACCAGGAACATCTAAGGGGAACATCTAAGGGGAACACCTGTGCAGCCCCCGAGAGAGCCGGCCGGCGGTGTGCCGCTCCCCCGCGGAAGTGGGGAATGTGGCAGGGGGAACCGCCCTTCCACGGAGGTGGAAGGGACGGTAGCCACCCCGGGAAGAACCAGCAGCAAACCCGGGGAGGGCCGAGCAGACGAAAGAACAGCGCAGGGTCCTGTGTCGTTCCTCCACGAAGACGGGGAGCGACATAATGGTGCCGTGACTCGGATATGAAGCCTAGGCAGGGTTTAGTGTCGTTCCCCCATGAAGACGGGGAGCGACAGATGAGTTTGTCGCTTCCTTGGGAGAAACACTGCTCCTGAGGGCTCAGCACGAAGCTGTCCCAAGGAGACAGATGTGAGGCTGTGATGCGGCCATCGTCCCGTCCTAGTTCTGGGCAGTGCAGGACCTGAGGAGTTGAAGCAGGGAGTTTCTCCTTTTTTCCTAAGTTGCATTCTATGTGTGTGAGAGTGAAGAGGGGAAAGAGAGAGTGCTAGTGAGAGAGAGAGAGAGAGAGAGGGAGGGATGGAGGGAGCTAGGGAGAGGGAGCTAGGGAGCTCCTCCATCCTCTGATACAGCCCATAAATGACCTCCAGGCCTTGGCCAGGCTGAAGCCAGGAGCCAGGAGTTTTGGTGGTTGTTGTTACAGGAGCCCAAAAACCCCAAGTGCCTGGCAGTGCCTCGATTCCTCCCTACCGGGTGGAGGACAGTCTCAGAGGATGTAGCTTTCTCGGCTGCCTCTGATTGGGCCTTCCATGTTTGGACTGCACAGACCCCACTACCTTCTGGGCTTCCAGGGTTTCTGCCAAGAAATCTGACGATGACTTAGGGGGAAAGGGTGACAGAGCCACCTTCCTCTCAGCTCTGGAGGTGCGAACAGTGTACCTGGCGGTGTCTTGGGCAGCAGAACACTTGTTGAGTTTACCAAAGCCAGAGATGTTGTTCCATCATTCTGAGACCCATCACTCAGAGAGTAAAGACAAAGGAGGGGCTATACTAAGTGGAGACACTAGGAGGTCTTCAAAAGATGCAACGTATCATCATATTTAAACTAGTAATGAGAAGGCCACCCAAGCAATCTATAGGTTGGAGTTTCTCAAAAATTAAGTATCAAGCCCTATCACCAACCTAGGCCAAAAACTCTTTGGGTATCGTTTTAATTTTATTGGAAGATTATCGAGAAAAACCACTGTGGATGAACTACAGCTCCCATTGGTCAATTTCTTGCTCTGACTTCATAAGTCACCACTGTTATGAAAGTCATATTACACAGTCCCTGGCTGGGCTGTGACTGGTCCATTTCTTGCTCTGCTCTCACAAGGCGCCATTATGTGAGGTGAACCCCCAAAAAGTATATATAGCTGCTACGGGGGCCTAGATTTTTGTCCGCCTTACCCAGAGAGCACTCTTTTGTGATCTGTGTAACTAGGACCCATCTAACCAGCCTTTGCGCTCATTGGTGTTGCTTGTGCTTTTTCTTGGTTGTTTGTTTCTGGGTCTATTTGGTTTTTGCTTTTTTCCATTTTGTTTAGTTTGTTGTTTTCCTCCTCGTTGTTGTTTTGCCCATTTGGTCTTTTTTTGCAGTTTTCTTTATTTTTGCTTCCCCCACTCTAGTCAGCTAGCACACTCAGAAGTATCAGCGTTCGAGGATTTAGTGGCTTTTCCTCTTTGTTTTTTCTGCATTATTGAGATAGGCTTGCGGCTTCGCCACTAGAGTAGTGAGAGTAGCTGGTGCTGTGTCTTAGTCAGCTGGGTAGTCAGTCCCCCGTGGTCCCTTTGTGTTGTAGGCAGTGCAGTGAGGATCGGTGATTAGCTAGTGTGTGTCGAGTGATTTAGGGAGTCGAGAGAGCGTAGTTAGGTGACCGGCATCATGGAAGACCCCTTGGACTTCCATCCTCCTCTGGATGGGATCCGTTTTGTGGACGTAATCGGCCGGGGCGGCTTTGGCCTGGTGAAGCTGGCCCGGCACCTGGCGTCGGGCAAGTACGTGGCAGTGAAGATCCTCCTGCGAGACTGCTCTCCCAGCAGCCCGCTGTCCGCGCAGGGGGAGGCAGCCATCCTGAGGAGCCTGCGGCACGACAACATCGTGCGGCTGCTGGAGGAGCGGCACACGAGGACGCACCGGTTCCTGGTCATGGAGCTGGCGACCAAGGGCTCGCTCCAGAGCTACGTGTTTGAGCAGGGCGGCCTGGCCGAGGCCGAGGCCAGGACCCTGTTCGGCCAGGCGCTGGCCGCCGTGAGCTACTGCCATGCCCAGCGCGTGGTGCACCGGGACCTCAAGCTGGGCAACCTGCTGCTGGACGAGCACATGACCATCAAGCTGGCGGACTTCGGCCTGAGCCTGCGGCTGGAGCAGGGCACACTGGTAAGGGGCTTCTGGGGGACCCCCGAGTACTGCGCACCAGAGGTTTTCCTCGGGGAGGCCTATGACGCTTTTAAGGCTGATGTGTGGAGCCTGGGAGTGGTGCTGTTTGCCATGCTGGCGGCCACGCTGCCCTTCCGCGGCAAGGACACGGAGGAGCTGCAGGACACGGTGCTGTGTGCCTGCTATGTGCTGCCGCGTGCCGTCAGCCCGGCCCTTCGGGAGCTACTGGCTTGGCTGCTCACTGTCCACGCCTCGGGGAGGCCCAGTGCAGAGGATGCCAGGGCACACTGGTGGTTCGATTCCAGCCGAGAAGCCACCCAGGAGGAGAAGGAGGCCGCTGTCACCCTGCTGCAGCCCCTGGGCATTCCCCGCGACTCAGAGGCCAAGGAGTACCTGGCGGGCCTCGGCCTGCTGCCAGGCACGGGGACTGAGGGGACGCCAGGCCCTTAGCCCCAGGGCCCTGCATCCCTGCCCGAGTCCTCACAGGGCGGGGAGCGCCACCCCACAGAGAAGGACCGCTTGTCTGTGGTATCAGTGTCCTCTGAAAGCATGTCTGTCAATATTTCCTCCGCACAAAGCGACTCCTCCGAGGCCTCCAGAGAGTCTTGCCCTCTCCCCTGCCTCGGGGCCTCCAGGAGCTGAGCCCAAGGCCCCTGAGGTGACCCCACTCTTGACTATCTCCTACCAGGCCAGCCACAGCAGGAGAGGAGCCCTGCTCCCAGCACCACCCCCAACTCCTCCCAGGCCTCCAGTGAGTCTGGCCCTCCCCCCTGCCTCGGGGCCTCCAGGAGCTGAGCCCAAGGCCCCCGAGGTGACCCCACTCTTGACTCTCTCCACCAGGCCAGCCACAGCAGGAGAGGAGCCCTGCTCCCAGCGCCGCCCCCAACTCCTCCCAGGCCTCCAGTGAGTCTTACCCTCCCCCCTGCCTCGGGGCCTCCAGGAGCTGAGCCCAAGGCCCCCAAGGTGACCCCACACTTGACTCTCTCCTACCAGGCCAGCCACAGCAAGAGTGGAGCCCTGTTCCCAGCGCCGCCCCTGAGCCAGCCTCCGAAGCGTCGCCCTCCAGCCCCAGTGCCGGGAGCCACGTGGACCTTGCAGAGCCAGAAGCCGCCGCCGCCACAGCCCGTGAGCCCAAGGATGCTGACACCACAGACACCAAGGCCAGCGCCCAGGGCAAGAGGCAGGGCCGTCGCGGGGTCGGCAGGAGGATCCTCCGGTTCCTGCTGAGGGCGTGCTGCATCCTGCCGTCCCGAGGGAGCAGCCCTGGCAGCTGCTGCAGAGTGGTCCCCAAGTAGCCTCGCCCCGCCCCCGTCTCCAGGAGCTATCCGCTGAGCTGACTGAACTTTTCTTGAGCATTTGCACATGCTTCTCATGAATAAAATTCACCATGTGTGCATGGCTTTGGTCCCGTGTGATGTTTGGTCCCTGTGTGCACCCTGGGCAGGTGATGGAGGTGACGGGTGGGTGGCTCTCACAGAAAGACAAACGCTGGGCCATCTCCCCTGTGTGGGGATCACAGAAGGGCTGACATCATAGAAGTAGAGCATAGAGTGACGGATCCCTGAGCCTGGGCCAGGGGAGGAGGGAGGGAGAGTCACAGCTTCCATAGTGGCACAGGCACACGGGGGTTGGGGTCTGATGAAGAGTTGATGAACCAGGAGAAGAAGAAAACGGATCCAAAGCGCTGATGCCTCCCGGACCCTGGGGGGAAGCTGAGCTTGATGCCCTAGCCTGCCCAGGGCTTTCCGGTGACAAGCCTATGAACTCCTTTTCATTCTGAAACCTGCTTGGGGGGAGCTTGTCTTATTTCCATCCAGCATGCTGAAACTCTTCCTGTCTTCATAGCTGGGAAGTTTCATTTTTCAGGCCTGCAAGCACAGAAGTTTCATTATCCCCCCTTGCCTGGAATTTGGAGCTTCCAACCCAGTCCCCTCCAAGAACCCTGTTTCTTCCTGTTGGTGGGGAAATTACCTGCAGTCCCTAAGGGTCATTACCCTTTCATGGCTGCTGCCCAGGAGCCTGCACAAGCGCATCATGGAAGAGGAAATTGGAATGAGCTGTAAACGATGAAGAGATGACACCTTAAGGGACAGGAAAATCAAAATGCAATGGGGGGGAGGGGCAGCAGTATGGTGTAGCTGGTAAAGCCCCCACCTGTGATGTTAACATCTCATTTGGATGCCAGTTCCAGACCCGGCTGCTCCACTTCCTACCCAGCTCTCTGCTAATGTTCCTGAGAATGCAGTGGACGACGGCTCAAGTGCACCCACTGGGGAGACCCAGAAGAAGATCCAGGCTTCTTCAAAGAGACATGCATGCACACATGCACAAGAATGTTCAGGACTACCTTGTTGATGATACCAAGACTGAAAACAACTGATGTATGTGTACACAAGAAGTAAAGATTAACTGTGGTATAGTTACTGAATGCATTTTAGAAGGCAATGAAAATTAATGAACTTCAGCTACATATGGATGTGGATACAATGTGAGTAAATCTAAAAATCATAGCTCTGGGGGCTGGCACCATGGCTCACTTGGTTAATCCTCTGCCTTGCAGTACCAGCATCCCATATGGGCACCAGGTTCTAGTGCTGGTTGCTCCTCTTCCAGTCCAGCACTCTGCTGTGGCCCGGGAGTGCAGTGGAGGATGGCCCAAGTGCTTGGGCCCCTGCACCAGTGTGGGAGACCAGGAGGAAGCACCTGGCTCCTGGCTTTGGATCGGCTCAGTGCGCCGGCCATAGCGGCCATTTTGGGGGTGAACCAACGGAAGGAAAACCTTTGTCTCTCTCTCTCTCACTGTCTAATTGCCTGTCAATAAAATGAAATAAAAAATATAAGAAGCATAGCTCCACGTAAGAAATAGAACTCCCAATACCTACAAAAGTCATTTAGATACATACGATAATTGGTACATTATCCAGGGTTGTATCGGTAGAACAGCATAGGAGTGATCAACATAAACTCCTAAGAGTGTCTGTTCTTCAGAGGACTAATAGACCAGCATCCCAGTTATGTACGCTAACTCGGTGGTGGTTGTAGGCACGCTCACCCTACTCTTTACATTATATATGTTTTATACTTGTGTATGCATGTCACATGTTGCATTTTGTAGTGAAAATATTCATACAAAATGTAGCATTTTAACCATTTAAAATTACTTATTTCGTTCATTTGAAAGGGAGGGAGAGAAAGACAGAGATAGCTCTCTCATTCACTTGCTCACCCCCAAATGCCCACAACAGCCAGGGCTGAGCCAGGCAAAGAAGCTAGAGCAGGGAATTCAATCTGGGTCTCCCTGTGGGTGGCAGAGACCAAAGTACTGAAACCATCACCACTGCCTCCCAGAGTGCACAGTACAAGGCAGCTGGGGAACGGCAGGCACTGTGCTGTCAGTTACCCGCTGCTCGCAACACTGGTATCCCATATGGGTGCTGTTTTGAGTCCCCATGGGAGACCCAGAAGGAGTTCTGGGCTCCCAGCTTCTCCTGGGACAGCCCCGGCCTTTGCAGCCATTTGGAGAGTGAGCCAGCAGATGGAAGACCTGTGTGTGTGTGTGTGTGTGTGTCCCTCTCACTCTCTCAAATAAATGAGTTTTCTTTGAACAAGGAAGCTCGTGTTAGGAGCTGCATTACCAGGAAGCTGGAATCAGCCAGGTGGGAACAGAACCCAAGCACACCAAAATGAGATCCAGGCCTCCTAAGCGGGCATCTTAAACCTCTTTGCCAAAAGCTCATGGCTAAATGTTTTTTAATTGAACAGTTCTATGGCACTAAGCAGAGTCATGTGGCTGCTCAGCCATCCAGTTTTCATCTCCAGGATCTTTTCATTACCAATTTTGTGAAGCTTTTGCATTATTTTTCTTCTAAGGAGTTTTTTTTTTTTTTTAAGATTTATTTATTTATTTGAAAGAGTTACAGAGAGGAGAGGCAGAGAGAGAGAGAGAGAGAGAGAGAGAGAGAGAGAGAGAGAAAGTGAGATCCTCCACCTGCTGGTTTACTCCCCAATTGGCTGCAAGGGCCCGAGGTGCGCTGATCTCAAGTCAGGCACTTCTTCCGGGTCTCCCACACGGGTGCAGGGGCACAAGGACTTAGACCATCTCCTACTGCTTTCCCAGGCCAGAGCAGAGGGCTGGATCGGAGTTGGAGCAGCCGGGACAGGAACCAGTGTCCATATGGGATGCCAGCACTGCAGATGATGACCTTACCTGCTATGCCACAGCAGGGTCCTCCTTTCTGAGAGTTTTGTGGTTTGAGCTCTTCCACTTAGATCTTTGATCCATTTTGAGTTCATTTTATATTTACATTCTCATAGATTTATATTTTTACATTCATCTTATTTATATGCGAATTCATCTTTTTGTATTATAACGCCTTTTTAAACAGAAAGAAAAGAATCGCAGACTATTGGCTCCGGTAGGAACCCGCCCCATTACAGAGATCTGGGGAGGGAAGCAGGAGCACACAGGGCTCAGGCAGCTGCTTCTAACGCCCCCGGGGCCTCGTGGCTCAATCCGCTTTCACAGCTCAACTGAAGCTACAGTTGGGGCCTCGGGTTGGGATCCGCCCCTTCCTGCTGCGCGCCCGCCCACGTCTCAGCACTAGCCCCGCCCCCGTCGGAGCCTTGAGAAACAGGCGCCGGTCTAGGGTGGGAGGGAAAACCCGGAAAAGTGGGATTCCTTCTGGTGGCCCGTCAGCGGCAGCTTGAAGGCCTGGCCTCCAGCTCCGTTGCAGTTGTTGATCCGGACCACGTTTTCACTTACGCCCAAGGCCGGACGGGAGCCGCGGGCCCTGGGCGGGGGACCCAGGCCGAGGGGAGGCAGGGCGCGTGCTCGGCCCGGATTGGCCATTCTAAATGGCGCGGGGCTTGGCGGGAGTTTCGTGGGCGCCGCGGGAGCAGAGAGCAGCCAGATGGCTCCGCCGGGCCGGGTGCGGTCCCGGAGGCCTGCAGGGTGAGAGCTGCGGGTCCCGCTCCGACTGACGCGGTTTGAGCCTTTGGGGCTGCGCTGGTGGAGCTTCCTTGTCGAAGTGACAGATCGCCCAGGGCCTCGGTTTGCATCTCTCAGTGCGGATTTCCTAGGAGGAGTCAGGGCGTGACGCCTGGCCTGGCGGGTGGGAGAGACTTTGGGGTTCCTGTGGCTGAGGGTCGCGGGCGCTTGGTGCCTGCTGTTCCCCAGACGTGACGGGCTGCAGCCCTGCGGGTCGTGTCTGCCTTCGTACCCCAAAGCGCAGACTGTAACGCTGGCCCTCACCCCTGCCCGGGGACCGAGCTGCCCCTTCGGGAGTGTTCCAGGGCGGGGAGCAACTTTTCTCAAAAGGGGCATGCATTGGAAAGTACGTCGTATTCGTCGTTCACAGATTCGTGAGTGGACGCCCGGGCTCTCTAGCGTTGTCTACAGGGCATCCAGGCGCCGAAAGGTTTTTAAAAACCTGTTAGAGATGGAGACTTAGGGCATGTGTTGAGCCCTTCCCTCAAAATGCACAGGAAAACACGGTTGTCTCAAGCGTCCATCTTGAACGAAGCCTCACCTGGACTCCAGCTTAAGGCGTATTTTTTGATTTGAGCACACGCAAGAGACAGCTGGAAGTAATTTAGGTTAAGACGCGTACTGATGTGGTTTCTGCTTCCTGCTAACGTTACTTGACTGTGTGGCCATTGCTGGATTTTTGTGGGAGGCCATGGATTTGAACTGAACGTCAAGCCGGTCACTGGGCTTAGGTGGCTGGGGGAAAGCTCTGTAGCAGTTAACTAACTGGGCTGTATGCAATGAACTGGATAAGGTGTTACCAATTGGTTGATTGGGTAGGCTGCAGCCAATTAAGTTAATGATGTGTGATCGCTCAGGTTGCTGGTGGTTCTCAGAACTTGCTTATATTTCTGGGGCTGCTCCATTCCCTAATTCTTTCTGGTTTTGCTTTGCCCAAATAAACTCGTCTAAATTTAATTGAACTAAAACTTCCCTGTTACCATCATTGCTAAGTCATTTAGCTTTCCTGAACCTCTGAATTATAACCAGAATCATAAAATTGCCATTGAGCAAATACTTGTTGTACCATTTTAGGTTTGGAGACTCAGAAAAAGCGTGGGAACTTGAGAACTGTGAACTCTCCACCCAACCCTTGACTTACTGAGCCAGAAACTGGGGGTGGCGCCAGGTGTGAGACCACTGCTCTAAACAGTGTTCCAGCTTTCTTTCTTTTTTTTTTTTTTTAACTGTGATTCACACAATGATGTTTTGCATCGCAGTTAGTACGCAGGTGCGCATGAAACAAATCAGAAAGTTTATGAAAATATCCTATCCAGTGCAATCTTACATTTTATGTTCCCTTGATTTTCCCTTTTAAGAAAATGCTAGGGTGAAAATCCTAAAGGGTGTTGGAGAGCTGATGAGATTTGGACATGGACTGTAGGTTGGATAATCACTTTGCAAATGTGAAATATCTAGATTTTGGAAATCCGCTATGACTGTGCACGTGCATGCCCTCTCAGGGAAGCCATATGAAGTACTTCAGTTAGGAGTGCTTACCTTGCACAGGCAGAGGAAGCAAAAGAGACGGTGAAGGCAACTGATGAACCTGGGTACAGGGGAGACAGTTTGAAATCATGTCAAATAAAGTACCTGAAGAATATTGGTTCAGACACACTAATCTGATACTGCCCTCCACAAAGGAGTCTTTGAAAACTGCAAGGTGTATTTTAAAGCCAGGAACTAGTACTGGATTCTACTAAAGTATCTCTAATACCCCATGCAGTGCCTCAGCTGTGGAGGGTGCTCAGTGCTTGTTCACTGAGTGCTGATGTTAATATAGGTTTTTCTTGCCACTGGTGTTTTCAGTTGTTAGTCTAGTCACTGTTGTTGCATTTGCTTCCTTTTCACTTCTAGAAGATCCGCACCTTAATCTGTTTTACGGTGTGCCCAAGGTCACTGGAGAGTGTTATGGGGTGGGAAGAAGGTAGGCTGTGGATTTGAACCGATGGGGTTTTCCTGCAGGCTCCTCTCCTGCCTGGCTGCCTGTTGCTCTGTGCCCGTGCAGAGCTGTCACACGGCCCCCCTCTACTTCATAGGATTGTTAAGCTGTGTGATCCCGGGCCAGGCGCAGATGGAATGGGTGTGAGGAGTCTCATCCATGTTGGTATCCATCCCCTTGGCTCAGCTCTGCGGAGAGTCAGTCTTCCCTGACAGATCCGGGTGCAGGGGCCAGCGTGACAGCAGGATTAGAAGTTTTCCATGATCTTGAGGGACCGAGGTGGTCACTTTATATGTATTGGTGATATAATTTGACTCGTATGTTTACAGGGTCTGGGTTCTGCTTCTTCGTCATAACTTTAGTTCCATTGCATGCGCGCTATTAGTACAGCTACTGAGCAGTGTAATTTGGGAAGACAATACTTGGAGAGAGTCAGGTTATGGTATTTTCCCTGGTTGCTTTAAATATTTCCTAACTTTTATTTTTTCCTGTTTCAGTGCAGTATGTTCAAAGAACACTTTAAGAAGAACACATCCTATGAAAGAAGTAAGTTCTCTTTTAGCTTTTAATGTGATTTTTCTCACAGTTGACTATAAAAGTAAGCTTTGGTGAGGACCTTAGAGTTTTCTGTATTTCACGTGATAAGCTCTGTTTTAGGGTAGTAAAAAAAAAAGTTTATTCCTTTTCTTACTTTTTCCACTGTTAGAAAAGAACCTTTGTTAACATTTTAGAAACATTTCTTTTTTCCAAGCCTAGATTTGTTTCATCTAGATAATTAGCACTGTGTAAAAATTGTACAGCTTTCTGAATTTTGCCACTCCTCCCAGCCATTTCTCCGTGTTACTGACAATGGCTTGTGATTTCATGAGGTTCCATGTTGTCTACGTTACAGTTTTATTTTTCTTCAGGAGAGTTTTAGAATACCTGTATGTAATGGCAGGTACATTTCTTTAATGCTCTTGATAGCTAATTCCAAATTATTTTCCAACGGCCTGTCGCGTGGCATTGGAATTTCACATGAAGTCCAGGAGGTCGGGCAGTTGCGAGTGCGTTTGTTCTCTGTTCTGCCTCTGGCATCCTCCGGAACCCCAGCCTCCGGAGCCTTACCCGTATATTGAACTGTACACAGGCTCTCCTTCAGCCAGGACTGTCAGCCCCTGTGCTCCCAGAGCTGTGCACGTCCAGGTGGCAGGCATGTTTCTGGGGAGACAGCCCACCGTTCTCTTTAGGGATCTAGGCAAGCTATGGCCTGGGGGGCAAAACCAGCCTACTACCTCTTTATACACAAGCCTGGGAACGAAGGATGATTTTTAAATAGCCAAAATAAACTAAAAAGGATATGTTGTGTGCCATGAAGATGATGTGAAATGCAGAGGTCTGCATCTCTGAGTAGATTGTGTGGGAAGCCGGCCCTGTGCATTCCTGGCTGCGCTGTCCCTGCGGGCTTTCCCTCTGCAGTGGAAACCTTGTGACCTGCAAAGCCTGAAATGCTCTCTGGTGCTTTGTAGAAAAGGTTTGCCAGGCCGGCCTTAGAATTCCAGAGGCCTCTGTCTCCTGGAGAACAGCAGAGTGGCTAGCTTCTCTAGGCGGCAGCAGGAGCAAGAGTGTCCTTGTTAAGTCCAGCAGCTTGCTGCTGGTGTGCGTTAGCACCAGTTCAGTGACTTTGGTTTTCTTCACTTCCAGAAAGCTGGTCAGAAGCACAAGCCTGCTGATGTGTTTGAGTTTCCTGATAATTCCGAAATCTCAAGCAGTGGCAGTGAAAGTAAGAAAGACGATGAGCCTTACGAGACTTTTGGTTAGTATTTAAATCTTTTTTTTTCTTTTTTTTAGTTATTTACTTGAAAGAGTTACACAGAAAGGAGGAGAGGCAGAGAGAGAGAGAGGGAGGTCTTCCACCCGCTGGTTCACTCCCTATTTGTCTGCAATGGTTAGAGCTGTGCCAATCTGAAGCCAGGAGCTTCTTCTGGGTCTCCCACACAGGTGCAGGGACCAGAGGAGTTTGGCTGTCTTCTGCTTCCCCAGGCCACAGCAGAGAGCTGGATCAGAAGTGGAGCAGCCAGGACTAGAACCGGCGCCCATATGGGATGCCAGTGCTGCAGGCAGTGGCTTTACCCGCTACACCATAGCACCTGGCCCCTGTGATTGATTTTCACTTAGCATGGTGTTTCCAAGGTTCATCCGTATGGTAGCATGCATCTGGCTGTTCCTAAACATTTTTATTCCTCGGTATTCCATTGTGTGGGTGTACCACATGTTGTAATCCATTCATAAGTTGGCATAAATTTACATGGTCTTCACTTAGGGACCATAATGCGTGATTGTTGTATGAACATTCATGAGCAAGTTTTTGTGTTGACATCTGTTTTCAGTTCTCTTGGGCATGTACCTCAGAGTGGAATTGCTGAGTACTTTGGTATTTGAGACAGAGAGAAAGGTCTTCCTTTCCTTTGGTTTAACCCTCAAATGGCCGCTATGGCTGGTGTGCTACGCCGATCTGAAGCAAGGAGCCAGGGTTTCCTCCTGGTCTCCCATGCGGGTGCAGGGCCCAAGGACTTGGGCCATCCTCCACTGCACTCCCGGGCCACAGCAGAGAGCTGCACTGGAAGAGGAGCAGCCGGGACAGAATCCGGTACCCCAACCGGGACTAGA